ATTCGTCATTGTGTCATGTGACCTACAGTGTCAGATGCATCGCTTCACTGCCATTCACAAATTTTCTCCTGTGGCCTCATAGGACAGAAAAGCGTCCATTGGATGCACATTTCAGAATCTCATCAGAAGTAGCAGGTCATCTGGGTACTTTGTTTTATGAAGACTGCTCTTTTCACATACTGTTTTTCATGTTCTATATAGTAGGGAAGTATGCGATTTTGGATGCAGCCATATGGTGTTTCTCAATCGAAAGGCTGCATCCTAGTAAGGCTGCCATATAATCAAGCTCTGTCTCAATTTGAAGGATCCTTAAAAGGCAGCCTTCGTTTCTTGTCCTTCATTCTGCGTTTTTTGAAGGATGCATCAAATGTAGGCTATCCCTTGTGTCCTCCAATAACCCACAATAGTCAATTTATATTCAGTTAATAAAAAGATTTTCAATATAAAGTATTTACATAAAGTGCGGTGCGGAAACTTTTATGACGTAGCCATGCACACTTATTAGACTGTGTCATTCTAGTGTTCACCCTTGAGGAGGAGTCTAACATAGAAGCCTTTGCAGAACAGGACTAGGAGGGACACAACCTCACTAGGATTCAGCTTTCCAGTTGAGAACACCCATAGTAATGACAGCACAGATACCAGACCGTTCTTCTGTATACTACTACTGCTAATGTACTCTGTCGCCCTCTGCTGGTTAAAATGAGAATGTCTGGCCTCTGCTAGTATTGAGTATACCCAGGGCCGTCCTTTGGGCGGTGCAACTGGTGCGGTCACACCGGCCCCGCGCTTTGAGGGTGCCCCGCGGCGAATGGACCGAGTGGGACTCTGCCACTCTGTCAATGACAACATCTGTATCTAGGGCCATAAGTATTTCCTTTTCAGTTGCCATCAACCTAAATGCCTCCAAGTGATCATTGGATATGGTGCTCCTGAGCCGATTTTTTATCAATTTGAGTGTGGAGAAGCTTCTCTCACAAGCAACCTGGGTGACAGACAGGGTGAGTAGGAACTTGTACCCGAGGCCTATAACATGGTAAGCATCTGTTAACAAGTTGTATCGCTGTAAAAGCTGATAACAACATACGGCACAGTTCTTACATGTTGAACAACTTTTATTCATAATCTCTACCTGTTCTTCATCAGTTCCATCCATAGGTATCTCTCTCACAATCCTGGTTGTGTACTCCTCCACTGCAGACTTTTTCAGTTTCTCCCATTGACCAGCGAGACTAGTCAGCTCATACTGTAAAGTGACAACAGTGGCCCGGTTGTCAAACTTTAGTAAGCATCTGCTTAGTTCTGTGAGCGACGTCTTGGGCATTCCATTATCTCTGATCTCTGAGAATCTTCTAGGGTCCAGATAAGCAAGGTCTGCAAACAATGTGCCATGTGTCAGAAAGCGTTGATGGATGCTTTCAGTGACTGTATCCATGATGACATGGTGTACCTTAGTCTTGTAGGCCATTTCCACATCCCTTTCCACCTCATCCTGAGCCAACTCCCCTGGCATTGTCTTCCTTTTCCTTATCCTCTTCTTTGGCAGCTCAGTTTGCACTTCCAGTTCGGTGTCTTCATCCTGTTCTTGTAGCTTGGCAGTAGCCCACTGCACAAAGATGTATGCTGCCATTTTCACAGAGTCAAAGTCTCTAGCATTCTTTTGTAGAGCTTCTTGTGTTTCCACAACCATCCGATGTGCTGTCAGAATGTCCAATCCGCTGGTTTGTAGGTACTTGGAGAGAGGAGACGTTTTCTCAAATACATACAAAAATGTTTGGGCAGTAAGGATGGTTTCATACTTGAGCAGGGCCTCTTTAAACCCTCTGGCTTTGACATGTACATTTGGCTTTTGACTTGCCATCTCTTCAATATTTGTCAAAGTGAGAACCACATCCACAAACAATGCATTTTGTGGGTTGCCAAAAAATCCGAAGACCTTCTTCAGAGCAGCATCCTTGGCCCACCAGCGTGTCTCTCCTATGGAAGAGAGCCGTCTGTGGTGAGGGTCCTGACTCTTTTTCTCCCAGACATTCATTCTTTGATAGGACTCTCGAATGAAAACTGCTAGGTCATTTAGTAGTGAGAATAGTGATGCACTTTCTATAACTACTCCTGTGGTGTCTCCCATCACAAGGTTCAGGATATGTGCATAATACCACACATGTACTTGGTTCGGAGAGTGTGAAGAAAGCAAGACAGAGAAGCCATTGTACTGGCCTTGCATATTTGCAGCTCCATTAGTAGAATTTCCAATACAATTACTCGTGTCCAGCTGTAGTGTATCAATTACTTCTTTAACTAACTGACTAAAGTACCTCCCAGACGATGCCTCACAACTGACAACAGCAACAAGTCACTCATGGACAACATCATTCACATAGCGGAGAATGACTGAACGTTGGTCTTTTGCAGAGATGTCTTGTGTTGTATCTATTTGCACTGAAAACATTACAGCTTGTGTAACTTCAGAGCTAATAGATTTTTGAATAATGCATCGGATGGCATCTATTACATTATTGACTGTATTTTTGGAAATCAAAGTGAGAAGGGATCCTCTGCCTTTCCCTCCAGTCTGATGTAGCCTCTTGCTCTTCTCTATGCAGTCCGCAACGTGTTCTTGCAGGCAGGTGTCATACTTGCTGATTAAAAGAATAAGCTCCAAAAAGTTCCCGTGATCTACAGAGATGTCCTCTAATGTATAAGCAGCCTCAGACTGGGACCCCCTGTAGCTAAGTCCTCTCTTGCCTATCACCTTGACATCATCTACAACACGTTCCAGCACCTGACGCCTCTTGCGAACCTGCTCTCTGTGTGCAGACATTTGCCGGCCACAAAGTAAATGGTTTATGTTTGCTTTGCTGGCCCTCAAGAAGTACGCTTCTGCACAATTTCTGTGGACAAAACTTTGTTGATGCTCTTCAATTCTCTGATGGATATGCCTCCAATCTCTCATTCCTACAATAAATGGATTGCCACTATCACAGGGCTTGGCAAAGGCAAGACAAACTGAACAAAACAACGTATGCCTCTTCTCACAGTATGTCAGCCACTTCCGATTTGTGATATCCTCACAATGAAATACTTTCTTCACAACTGCATTTTTGAATGTTTGTCTGGGATGGTACGTGAAAAACAGGTCATGATCTGTTGATTTAGGCCGTGTGAACCAGTCAACATCTGGGGCCTCTCCTGTGTGCTTTGCCTCTCCCTGTCCTGTGTGCTCTGCTTCTCCTGCATGCTCTGCCTCTCCCTCTCCTGTGTGCTCTGCTTCTCCTGCGTGCTCTGCCTCTGCCTCTGCCTCTCCTATGTGCTCTGCCTCTCCTGCGTGCTCTGCCTCTGCCTCTCCTGTGTGCTCTGCCTCTGCCTCTCCTGTGTGCTCTGCTTCTCCTGCATGCTCTGCCTCTCCTGTGTGCTCTGCCTCATTTGCTTGCTCTTTTTCCTCAACTTCATGATGAACCTGAGTGTCATCATTATCTGGATCACTGCTTGTGCTAGGCTTAGCCTCATTCTTGTTTTGAATAAATATGTGCTTATGAAACAATTATAGGTGACCTAATTAATAATTATTAATAATTATGACCTAATGTACAGTTAAGTTCAAATGTATCTACATGTAGACATAATTACAAATATTGTCATATGTGTTCCCCTCTACTTTAGAGTTAATTACAAACCCAAAGTACAGTGTCACTGTTTTTTTCCCCCTACCTCTACCACACTCCTCCCTGTCGCTGCTAGGCCTTCCGTAGCATCCTTTGTAGTTTTGAATAGATGAACACACGATTCAGACAAGGGAGAACATAACCAAGCCAATGGCTCATATTACATCATCTAACTATTGCGTAGATAGTGCCTGTTACAGAAGCCTATGTTCCACCCTACCTAAAGATTTATTACATACTGTAACCTATGCATGTATTTAATGTTTTACTTTAATATATGACTAGCTACGTATTCAGAGTTCACTACAAATGCCTACAGTACTATGGCTATTGCTATAGGTTTTTGACATGTTAGACTATATTGCTAGTAGCCTACAGCAGTCTGTATACCCGGCCTAAATCCCACGTTATCTGCTGATAAGCAATGCCATTTTAAAATATACGGGGGTTCTACGCTAAGCTTACAACTGTTTAACACAGTATAGGTTACTGTCAAAAACTGGCAGAAGTAGCGTGAATTGCATGAAAATGACTTGAGCAGTATATTTTGTTTTCTTCTCACCTCCTCTATGGTAGTGCGGTAGAGACTCTACCGCACTACTGTCCTCCGCTGCAGCAGCCGAATTTAAACCTTTTGAGAAGATTTCGGTTAATTTTATGCATTTGGCAGCGTCGGATTTAAGAGCCCTTTTTTTTGCTTTCTCGAAGCTTTTCTGCACCGCCTTTCCTTTGTTTACGGTCCATCATCTGACAATTAGCTCGTGTTGCTCTTATGACGTGCTTGATTTTGATTACGTCCGCGTAACCTCTGGTTGGGTCAGTCGGCCCATCTCGAAACCAGCCGGCCGTCGCCGACTGGGCCAAATGCTTAACATTTATTATTATTTTTATTATCATCATCATATTAAAATATTGCAAGCGATAAAAGCTGCCAGCCTGTAAAAACAATGTATTTTTATATATATATATATAAAAATTTAATCTGACCGGCCCACATTTAAAAAATGGTCCGGCCCTTCTGGGATTTGCCAGAATTGCCAGATGGCCAATCCGCCACTGCTTCTTGCATTCCATTGCAACTTTAGTATTATTAATATTATCACCCTACACATGAAATCTCTTGATTTGCTTGCATCCTAAGTTCATCATTTACCTCCTTCCACTTCAAGCCCATATGATGTTCTGCTGCTTTCACATTCACAAACACCGGATCCTTTCTGTTTTTGAGTTTTTCAAATGTTGCATTTATTACTCCTGCAATGAAAGTGACTTCTTTCTTATTCTCTATCCATGCATTCCTATTACCTTGCTGTCAATTTACTTTCCTTTGCTCTTTATTACCTCTTCCCTTCTTATTATGTTTTTCCTGTCCAGCCAAATGAACTGCTTCAGCATATGATACCTTTTTGTTTAGCCTTATTTGCTGCATCTCCACCTCTTTTTTAAGTACTTCACATCCCCAGAAAGCTACACTGTGCTCCGACCAGGATTTTTGCAGCCAATACGGACTACTGATTTCTTGTCATCATGTTCGGCCGATACCGATCCCGATCATTTAAGCTTTATATAAGTGATATGTAAGCTCTCTGTTGACTGTCACTATTAACCTTTTTTTCCCAGATAAAAGAATACCAAAGATGTTGTATTGCTTGTATTATTTACAGTAATGTTGTATATTGTTGTTTTAACTGAGAATCAAATAAATAAGCACAACAAATATTCATTTTACAATGAACATTTTAATAGGCCTTTAAAAACAGAGCTTTTCCCTCAAATTCAATTAGTACAGATTCTGTTTCCTTTTCTCTACTCCTTTCGTCATTATTCTTACTTTTCACTGTGCCATTTCTCACTTTTAAGTTTTCCACTAGTTCCCTTACATTAACATTAATGGGAACACCATAGATCACCCCCTTGCATCCACAGATTTTTTTTCCCCAACTCTAGCCACCTTAAGGACTTCAACTTTTCCAACATTTGCCAGTTTTCTAGCCTTTTCCATTTGGACTTTATTATTGCATTCAAATTAGCAAGTGCCCATCTCCTAGAATCCTTGCATATTTCACTTCTCCAATCTATCCTTTAATGATTTTTGTTAATTTAATCCGGCCTAACAACTACATTCATTTGACCCTCTTACGTTATTTTCTCTTTCTCTTCTCTTCCTTCACTTTCCGATGCTGGGTGTTTCTTTTTTTCTTCCTTTGCGGGCTTTTTCCATTCTTTCTCTTTCCCACGATTTCCCACTCATTTATTCTTCTCTCATATTCCTCATTGCAAACCATACTATTACTCTTACTGTCTGAGTATCGTTCCAGACCTATAGAGGCCATCGGTCGATAATCCCAGTCCAAGTTCCTCGCAGTACCTAAATGTACTATATTTACAATACCTTAACTTCAACGTCCTCAGTCTTCCCAAGTTTGTTATATTTTGACTCTTCGGTAGTCAGTCCTCAAAAAAACTCGTGGCAACAGCAATGCGTCAGTCCTCTACCCTAAGAGCTTCAGACTTGTCTACTCCCAAACTAGTCTCTGCCAGCCATATTTTGATCCAGACTTTCAGTACTCTTTCAGAAGATGTGTAATAGTGCCTCCTACTGGAAAATTCCGTCAGTGGTGGGGAAAGAGTTAAACAGACATTTACTTGTAAATCATTAGTACAAATAAAGGCAGCTATGTGATTCTTTTTCAGTTGAATCATGACCATCATAAGCGTCACAATTAGTTTTTGGAATGGTCTGCTATGGTGTACGGTTTGATTTTTTTTGACGTACCAGTTTTTCTTTTTTGTAAACGCAAAATGCTTCAAAATTCACAATGACGGTAATAACTTAAACTAACTTACTCCTTTAAAGACAATGTCTGCTTTAACAGTAACTCACTTGATTAGGTGAATAGAGGTGTTGGCATTATAGTAAAACATTATGTGTTGTTCACAAAAAATCCAAATTATTCATGTGTGTTTTAATGTGGATTATTTCTTCGAGGTATTGTATTCTCCAGTTTGTTGCATTGAGCTGTGTCCTGTTCTGCTGTAAACTGAGGGAATTGGGAGTGTGTGTGTCTCACTGCTGCCCTCTTCAGTCAGGAGAAATGGTGCGTCTGCGCAGGCAGCTGCATGTCAGGCATTTGAGGATGCTCATGGTGATGTGCATTAGAGAGCCGAAGTTAAAGAGCAGGTTGTAGAAAGTGTGCACTGAGAGTCCTCCGGTCTCGTCTGCGTATTTCATGGCCACAATGGGCGTATAGAGGCTGTTGGTCAGATTCCGGAATCGGGGTCGGCTGGATTCAATCACTTTCTTGGTACACTGGATTGTGGGTAATTAAGAAGAGAATAATAATTGCGACAGGTTTAGTGTTTAAATGAAAATCTGTGGAGATTTAAAGGGTAGTGAAGGCAAATTAGAGCTTGCAATTTGTAATGCAATGAATTTATAGCGTTCTTATGTTTGCAGTCTAACAGTGACACATACTTTAGCAATGTCCTCAGGGGTTTGTCCCAATGCCTCAAAGATATCAATGGATGATGGTATGTACACATCCTTGAAGTATCTGACTGTGTCTGCATCTGCTCCAGGATATTCCATCTTGGCCCCCTCTTCCATCATCTTTGTTTCAACCTCTGTATGCACTGGGCCTGGCTCAATCAGAGATAGTCTAGGAGAACAGAAGGAATGCTACATTAGCACTATAGCACTCTTTAATGCCAATAAGATGGATTATAAAAAGCCTTTTTACACCAAGTCTGATGAGCACAACAGGCTTATAAATAAATCAGTCAATTAATCTTGAGAATAAATCTCATAATAGGCATTTTAATGAGAATAAAGTCATAAGTTTAAGAATACAGTCACCTTTTCTCTAAAAACAATATTTGAAGGCATTTAGTGAAAATGATTTTTTTTCCCCAGTTGAGAGATATTTCCTGTATTTCTGCTGTAATTATAGCAAAACAGCTTATTCTAAAACATTTTTATTAACAGAAATTGGGAGTGTTGATATATTTAATTAATTAACCACAAAATATTTTGTGATTCCAGAAGTTTCAAGAAATGTATGTTCTTCAGTAAAAGCAATAGTTACTATGGGATAAAAAATAAGATTTTAGTGCACATCTTGATTTATTTTATTTTATTTTATTTTCTGAGGATTTTTGAGGATTATGAGATTATTTTCAATGGCACATGGCATTAAACCAGTGTTGTAAGTGTAACTAAATGACATGAGGATAATATACTTATACAATATTTTGTAATTTGCTGAAAAATAAATAAATAAATAAATAAAAAAACCTCACATTTATCATCACAGATCATAGCAATCTGATATTTCATTGTTATGGTTCATTGTTATGGTTTTAAACCTTGTTCTTTTTTCATGCTGGAAATTTAGGCTTGACATGCATCACTTACTTCACATTAAACTTCAGCAGCTGCACAGCCATACTCTCACAGAAGCCCTCTATGGCGAACTTAGAGGCCGTGTAGACATCATTGAATACCACACCTGCAGATAAGTTCAACAGAGACATATTCAGTGATAATGTCATTGCTCTGCTGCCCTCCCAAAGTGGCCTAAACCATGTGTGCCATATCTGGCTGTCATACTGCTCTTCAGCTAATTGCATAACTCTGAATGGCTCTATTGTCCCTCTGACTGTCAAGCATTCAGCTGTGTGACATAGAAGGTTTGGTGTGTCCGTCCTACCCTGCAGGCCCATTACGCTGCTCATGACGATAATGTGGCCGGATCGCCTCTTCTTCATGTCTGGCATGACCTCTTTTATCATGCGCACAGTTCCGAAGAAGTTGGTCTCAAACACTCTCTTCATCTCATCCATGCTGATGCTCTCCACAGGGCCCAGCAAACCCACGCCTGCATTATTAACTGGAAAATCAGAGAGGAAACATGGGTGGTTATGGTCTTGACTGTTCCCTGAGGCTCTAGGCTAGTATTGATTTTTGGTGACCACATATCATTCAGTTAATATCAGTCAGCACACACTTATTCTAGTTTCTATCAAGAATGTCTTGTCTCTGGTCATTTGTAGTAGTATTTTATCAAATTATCAATTTATCAGAAATATCAATTTATCAAATTAAATTTGATACATATTATCAATGTATCAAATTATGTTACATTGTTACACTGAACAGTGTGTACCTCTGCTGAAATGTGTTCATAGGCAGAAAAAAACAGATTTTATTTGGTCTATCCAACTCAGTTACCCTCCCCCTTTTTTTAATTTGGTCTATCCAACTCAATTCCTTTTTATGTAGTCTGAACAGGCTAAAAACACATGAAATCCAATTTGTATAAGCCCGATGCAAGCCTTCGAATGTCGACTCATTTGAAATCCTATTAAAGACTTTTGTTAATGCGTTCCGAGTCTGAACAGTCAAATAGGATTTGATTGGATTTGTGTGTCTTTTTTATTCGTCATGTGACGGGTTAATACAATAGGTGTTTTGTCAAGAACAAAAACAACAGGTGGTCATTATGTGACTTGTTTGTAATCACATCATGTAATCATTGATTTAATGTGTTCATTGTTAACTAACTGCATGATTTGTATAATCTTATAACTGTACATTTTTGTCATAAGGACATTACTTTGACAAAGTCACCTCTGATAACAGATCTCTCTTATTTGCAATGTAGAAACATTCATTTTCTGTGAAGCTGCTTTGAAACGATATGTATTGTGAAACGCGCCAAAAAATAGAATTGATAGTGAACCCCTGTGAAAAAGAAGTGTACTTATATCATATATCTTTAATATATTAAAAACTGTACTTGCAGATAGCATAATATTAATGAAATTAAGTACAATTAAAGAGTGCACGTTTTATTAATGTTTCACAATTATGTACACTTAAAATTTCTAATCATTTCAAGTATTTAAGGTACATTTCAAATCATTGTTTTAATAATATTTTGTTGTGCTTAAAAATGTAAATTAAAATTTTGATGTGTTGACATTTTAAAGCTGTCTGTTCTGCTGAACACAAAAGAAGATCTTTTGAAGATCAGTTTCTGGTCCCCATTGACTACCATAGTATTTTTTTTCATACTATGGTAGTCAGTGGGGACCAACAATTGTTTAATTGATTACCAATATTCTTCAAAATATCTTCTTTTGTGTTCAGCAGAAGAAAGAAATTCATACAGGTTTGGAACAACTTGAGGGTGAGTAAATGATGACAGAATTTTTTTTTTTTGTGAACTATCCCTTTAACTGTACAGTTTCAGTGTATTTTATTGATTGTAATGAATGATAACAAATGATAATGAAACAGTCAATGGCAAAACATCCTTTGCTAAACTCTTGCAAGGTGAAACTACGCAGGTTTGCCTCATTGCTATTGCAACCAGTGTTTTTTTTTCTTCAGTTTTTTATTTTTTATACAAGCCCATTTTTTTTAACAGCCCAAATAAAAAATTGGATTTCCCCTGCAGTGTGAACAAAGCCTATATGAGGTCAAATGCATTCTGCACTCACTGAGAATGTCGATGTGGCGGTCCTTGACACTGTCAATACATTGCCTGACTGACTCATCGCTGCACACATCCAAAGACAGCAGTGTCAAGGTCTTTCCATACGTGTCACCCGCCGCTTCCACCAGCCGGTCCTTCTTTCTCAGGTCTCTCATAGTGGCAATAACTTCAAGACAAGTGACAGAGAATCATTTTGTCATCAACAATTCAAGAGTAAAAACACAAAAATGAAAGACTGATATCTACAGAGGTTTTATTTAGAGCTGAATAATGGCACTATTGTCTTTCTAGAGCTGCTTTACAGCAGAATTTGAATTTGTCTCAGATTTGCATCATCGATTCTGTTAATTTTCTGTTTATTACCCTGAAGCCGCTTTAAAACAACCTGTATTGTTTAAAGTTCTATATAAATAAAGGTGATCTGAGTTGACTCTTAAACGCTTTGCCCTAAAATCACTGCAGGAGATTGCAGTTTGATTTAATTTGATCCCTTATATCTTTTTTTAGCACTGACATATATGCTGACCCAAACAAAGCACTCAAAGTCTAATCAGAGGTAAGTGTTGCTTAATTAAACTATGGCTGAAAGATAAACTGAAGAGATTAACATTTTGATGCACTTTGAACACCTGAGGGGACACTGACCTAAATCAATCGCCCATCCCAGATTTACTAATAAGCTTGCTGAACATCATTCAACTGTAATTCTTGTAGTTGGATTTGGAGTTATCAGTGTTATCCTTATAAAAACATTAGAAACCCAGTCGACAGTGTGATATCAGCGATCAGCTGTAATGTCATGCTGACTATTATAGAGACATACACAACCATTCAAAAGTTTGGGGTCAGTACAATAAAAAAAAGAAAAAAAAGAAATGAATACTTCTGTTTACAGTGTTACAAAAGATTTATATTCTTATAAATGCTGTTCTTTTTAAACTTTCTATTCATCAATGAATCCTGGGGGGAAAAAATCCTTCAGTTTTCACAAAAATATTAAGCAGCACAACTGTTTTTAACATTGATAATAATAATATTAACACTTTCTTGAGCAGTAAATCAACATATTAGAATGATTTCTGAAAGATCATGTAACACTGAAAACTGGAGTAATGATGCTGAAAATTCAGCTTTGCATAAATTACATTTTAAAATAGATTACAATAGAAAACAGTTGTATTAAATTGCAATATTGTTTCATAATTATTTGACTGTATTTCTGATTACAAGGGAGAGCATGAGGGGCTTCTTTCAAAAACATTTAAAATATCTTACAGACCCCAAACTTTTGAACTGTAGTATTTATAATGTATATATCTCTCTAGCGTGTAACTTTGTATTACAGCACTTGTCATGTTACTGCCTCCTTAGCATAAATCGCTTTGTTGTGTTCCTCATTTGTAAGTCACGTTGGATAAAAAAGTTTCTATTAAGTTTCTATTCTAAAAGTTTCTACTAAATAAATAAAGACATCATTCAACTTGAACTTCAACATTTACATCATAGGCTTACTTTGCTTCTTTGACGCTGACAGGAATTCGTTTTGCAGTGTCTGTCTCTGTGATGTTTGATTTGCTGATTAAATCATCTCTGATTTTACAGATAAGGCTGAGGAGCCTCTGTAGCGTATCAAAGTGTTGAAGCGTCATTCATTCGTCTGTCAACAGACAGCATCCATGATCAGTCACAGCCCAGCTGCTGTTGACAAGTGGCAGTAAGCATGAGGAGACTGTCATGCATCAGTAAGGTGATGATGGAAACGCAGCTGCTAGGAAATCTGCACTCCTGTCTTCCTGATTTCACTTGTATATATAAAGCATAATCTGCACTTGATGAGAGTAGAAATGAATTCTTACGACGCAAAGCCTGTGTGGCCAAACTAGGCCACAACTTAAATGTGTTTGCGAGAACAACCGCCTCATTGTTAAAGCTGTTGTTTTAGAGTAAGACTTGAGGCAGATTAAACTTTCTTGAATGAGCCGCTCTGTCTTGTAATTGGACTTTTTGGCTTCTTTGAAGTTGGCATATATCACTGCTCCTCATTATAACCAGAACCAATGAAAAGTTTAATCTCAGAGGATTTTGTTTTTCTGGAAAAAAAAAAAAGATAAAAAATTCCACTGTTGCAATACTCTTCAAATGAGAACAAAGTTCAAACGGAATTCATTTAAAAGATGAAAAAGAATGAAAGAAATGTGTGTATGGAAAAGTTCCTATTCTGATAGTGTTCCATTTTAACTTTCTTAAAAACATCCCTTTCGTGTATTAAAATAAGGGGACTTCAACAGGGGGTCTGTAGCGGTACCTCAGGGGGTCCGCCATACTGTTAAAATTACAATATGATAACTGTAACCAAGACTAAAGAAGCTTGTTTCATTGTCCTGTACACATTAAAACACATAAGGTAAAATTAAAGTGTAATGTAGAAGTACATCAATGTGAGTACAGTAATCATCATGCTAACATAATGTGCTACTTTATACATGTCAGACTTATCTCTCAATCCACCAAGGGCCTGAAAAAGGTTGAAGACCCCTGGTGTAAACCAAATGCATTGTATCTGACTGACATTAATGAGTCTCTGGATGTAGCTGAGTAGGAGATAACAAATGTCCAATGGGTTTGCCCTGCTCAGAGTGCAGATGGAAGTCTTCAGACGACCCTCGCTTTAGAGCCCTCACTTGTACAGGTCTCAAACTTTGTCCCTCTCCCAACACTCATTCCAGTGTGTGAACTATGGGCGCATTAGACACGGCACTAAACCAGGGCAGCGGTCTACAATTCACAGCCATAAAGGGAGCTTTGTACTGGAGAAGTCACTTGAAAGAGAACTGGCAGTCTCTTTATGATCTCCGCCTGGCAAGCGGTATCCTTGCGGAGCCGTACCCTGGAAACTGCGCTTTCACATGATAATAAAGAGCCTTTGGGTTCAACTAGAGAAAAGTGAATATAATATTGCGGTTGGGATGAGGAGACAAACGAATTCTCAAATATACAGCGTGTTATGTAATGAAAATGTCCAACAGTTGCGTTACAAAATAAGACTTGTATGCTATCGAATAATACCGACTGTAAAAATGTGTAAACTTCTAGAATCTACAATTTCGAACGTTTTAAAATATTCTAACCTAAAAATAGAACGTTCAATAGACGTTTGAGCGCTGAAGGAATTAGAAGGCAAATGAGCGCGTTTACCATGGTAACGCTTCTGTTCGTCTCTGGCCAGCAGCACGGCGATCCGCAGTCCGATCCCGGAGGAGCAGCCGGTGATCAGCACCACTTTCTGCTCGCCGCCACTCGCCATGGCAACTCCTGTCTCAGCTGCGAGCTGTATCAGCGGGCTTTAAAAAACTTAAAGCGGATCATGCAACTCGGCGCTCATGTGAGCGGGTTATGCGGTCACATGGCAGACAGAATCGATTAGTTAAAGGAGGACGTAAACACGCATGCTTACTTACGTGAGCATCAGCGTTTACTGTACTGCTATGAAAAACAAGCAGATTAACGCAGTCAGATGCATTGCGAGCTGTGGGTGCAAAGGGGAGAGAGGTGTGTGTGTTTTGGGGAGGGGGCGGGGGTCTAAGGCGAGAAAAAAAGAAAGAAAATAAGTAAAACAACAAACATTTAAAATGAAACAATTTTTAATTAAATTAATATTAATTGTTAATTACATCTCACTTTCACGCCTTCTGGTCTGTTAGTTCAGTATACTAATAGGAAATTATATTTTATTATATTATATACTATAATATAATGTAATATAATATCATATACTATACTATACTATACTATACTACACTATAATATATATATTATTGTAAAGTATAATAAAGTGAGTTTGGTTTTGGTTTGCCATCCTCCACTTATAGTGTTATTGCTGATTGAATTCATCATTCTGTTTTTAAAGCATAGGCCTATTTTTGTGTGATATTGCACTCAGTTTTGATGCAAATGGCGACGTTTTTGTTTTAATTAGTAGAACCATTTTTTTTTTAATATTATCAAAGAGTGAATATAATGACTATAAGCATTTTCTACACTCATATGAGACGCTTCTCAGTAATAATTATGTTAATCAGTACTGCCACCTGCTGGTAAAACTTAATACAACACATGCAGCTTTAATAACTCGCATGATTTTTTAAAAAGACGACTAGAAAATTTTTGGTTGTGATGGAAATGTTGTCAAGGACAAAGAGGGACATGGTTTTTGGAAACACACACACACACACACACACACACACACACACACGCACACAC